TGTACCTTGAATTTCAAGGGCATGCATACCTTTAGGGTTAGAAAACGAGCGAATTTATCTTAAAAAGTATATGTGATCCTAATCTCGCTCAAGGATGGAGGGGAGCGGGGTTAAGCACAATTTGAAGTAGTTAACTTAGGATAAGTCAATAGAGCTGTCCCAGAAGGTATGCGGCGTAGAGGTCTGAGAGATTTTTTCAGGAGGGGGGGGGACGGGGATGGCATTGGGCAGGCCCTCCAAAAAATGTGAGGTGCTTTCCGACTTTGAGCCATAACGGTGTCATTTTGATAAAGATGGGGCGCTGTGAAACTGATTTGATTTGAAGAAAATCCAAAAAATCACTTCAATTATCTGCAATAAAACAAGTCACTTGCACGATTTTTGACTCATGTGGGCAAAAATTCGAAACTCAACTAAAATTCTTCTAAACTTAGAAAACTTGTTGCTTATTCTCGGTGCTCGTCCCCTCTCCATCCAAAACTGGTGTACTGTAGTTGGTTCAGGATCTTCAATTAGGAATTTTCTGTAATGGGGCTCCACAGTGGTTGATTACCTTCTTTGCGAGGTTGCTGTTTTACGGTATGTAACCACCGTAACAGCTCTAAAATCTTGCAAACCAACTACTGACGGAATCGTCGCAGAAACGCAGAACAAACTAAAAAAATTTCGAGAATCTCAACTTTACACAGTGTGACTACGATAATACTAACCTTGATTTAATCGGCTTGGCGGCTGGAAGGCGGGCTTTGTGACGTAAGTAAGGCCGCTCGCGCCCGCTACGCAGTCTGCGTTCCTCCCGCGCGCATGCTCTCTGATCATTACATAGCCTTAATTAGGTCACGAAGCTCCGCCTTCCAGGTGCCAAGCCAGTTTAATCGAAGGGTACCTAACAGGCCACTTCTGTCAATTTGACCGCTCTAACCACACTAGCCGGACAGTGAAAAACCGCTGGGTTCAGGACGCCGTGGAACGGCAAAATCAAGTTCTTCCACTTCAAGCAAGATCGATGTCAGGCCGTAGCAAGGAACAAGGAAGAGAGACAAGACGAAGAAGAAGAGAGAAAAGAGGACGCTAACGATGTGTGTGAAAATCTACGCATAAGCATGGATCGCAATTGGGTGAATCGTATTGTAAAAATATTGAGAGGGAAATATCAATAAAGCTATGAATACAACCTAATGGTGTGCAGAAAACGTATGAGTCCTACAATTGTCGACCTATTAGATTGTCCCATAGGTCTGGGCGTTTGGAAGTTCGCACCGAGCTTGATTAACATTGAGTTTCAAGCTAAAACAGAAAAAGTTCCTAAATCCCGAAAAAGCGAATACTATCATATTTCAGTTCAAAACAACTCTGCAGATTTCCCACTTGCTCACGCACGTACTCTCCTCGCTAGATATTTATACATGCACTTGCCGCATTCTTCTGATGGTTGGGATTCAAGAAAATAATTATGAGCTGATTTTTCAATTTGCCTGAAACGGTTCTTTGTTTCTCTCAACTATTTGATTATATAGCCTATTCAGTCAGAAATACTGCCACAAATTTGCAGCTTTGTAGGTGACCTATTAGAGAAATATCGATTTGAAGGTTCAAATATAAAACTTATGGAACAACCTAATACGTCTAATCATACAAATATGGTTTGAGTTTTTTTCGCTAAATTCCATTACGATAAAAAAATCGTTAGGGAATAAGCTGCTCTGGGACGGCCTTGAAAGCGTGACGACAGAGCAGCTTTACGGATTGCGTTAGCTTAAGCATTATCATCCTACTTCCTCCATCGAGTTTTTCTCCAAGTCACGTCTCCTCCACTGCCCATATTTTGAGATTTTTACGCTTGAGCGATGTAACGTCTGCTGAATGAACTCAGTCGTAAATACCTTTCTCTTGAGGGTTGCCCTACTCTCAAGTCGTTTTCCTCAGATCATGCTTGTCTGGCCGGGCTTCATCTATGGCTTCCATGTGATTAGAGCTGCCGTTTCGTTTTCTCGAAACTCGTGTTTTCCCATTTTTCTCGGTGAAGCTTTGAAGTCACGATGGCTGTGCTTTTTATCGCACTTCCATATTTATGGGAAATCCTTCGAACTTTTTGTGAATGTTTCGCTTTTGAGTCACGCTCGCTCGTCTACTCTCCTTCGTTTGCTCACTTGAGTTGATTTAATTCGCTACATTTCGATAATGTAAAATCTTTCATTACTAATTTTGCACCTCGTAATATTCGGCTAAGCTACGTTTGCGTTGGTACCTCTTGTCATTATCCAAAATTGTTCGAATCAGTAGGACGACTATGACGCCTTGCTTGACACAACACATCCTATATTCAAATTTCGCTTGATTTGTTTCGGCAGAAAGCACCACCACAAATTTCATCGTACGAAATGACATACGCTCAGGGCTCGGCAGAGCTGGCACCGGGTCAAGCTGGATATTGTTTTTGGGGCGGAAAGCAAAGGGGTATTCGTTTCTGCGGGTTAGCATGCCGCTGTTTGCTAAAATGCCACCGGCAAGTCGCCAGCAGCGTGTCCCTGGGACAAACAGGGGCCTTTTTTACAAGGAAAATGCAATTATATGACACCAAATTTGGTGTGTGCATGCGCGTTGGGGGACTCGAACTATGGCCCAAAAATTTATGAAAGCTTACATGAATGAAAGCTGTGCTGAACTTTTTTCTGAATTAGCTGGCACTGTGCCAGCTGGGTGCCAGCTGAGCTGGCACCGACCCTTTGCTCGCATAAGTTTTCATAATTATTTACATAAATTGTATCTACACTGTAAAAGTTCACATACAGAGCAAAAACAATCTCATAATGTTCTCTTTTCGGCGTTTTATAGCCATCTGAACATTTCTTGGTCTGCTCCGCAGTCGAAAAATCTGCTCCAATCACAAAGCGCGCCCTAAGCAAATGCAAAACACGTCAAAGGGGACTTCGTAGGAAACTTTTAAGGTCAAAGGGGACTTCGTTTTAGAATTTCCCTGGTGCCAGCTCGTGCTGAGCTCTGCATACGCTCATACGTACGTTAATCTATGCGACAGTTGCTAATTCTGCGGTGTCTACAATATCTGCGCGTAAAATCGACCATTGACCAAATCGACAACTTGAGTTTTAGGCTTTATCGTAGCTTTTCCACTATATCAGCGTTGCATTACTGACAAACTATGTGCAAATCTTAATAGGCAGTCGTTCAAGAACTCTTTCGAGCGGAAAGCAATAAAATTGTCTTGTGTTTTTTTCCAAGTTTTCAGTGTTTTCGGTGAATCCGCAACCGGAAAAAATTTCAGGGAAAATAGCGAGGTTGTAGTACTCCCCAAAAAATTTTCTACGGAGCTGTTTTGTATTTCTTATTTTGAAAGTATTTGAGTAAGAAGACATTTATCCAGTTTTTGATTTATGAGGCCACTTTCAAAAATTTTGCGACCCAGTGGGGATGGGACTGCAAGATTAAGAATTAGAACTCAAATTCACGTAGTTGAAAGTTATGCGATTTTCTAGAAACTCTAGAAATGCGTAGATCTTACTCTGCAACTTTGCAGTCATCTTCAAAATCCAGAAAATGCCCACATCAAACAAACAACATACTCTTTGTAAGGTTTTAGCATGAATCACTTGTTTACTGCAAGAAGAATTTTGTAATCCATCCGCGTAAAGCTTCTCAAATTTGCAGAAAAAGCAATCATTCAGAGCGATTTATGCTTAGTCGGCTTGGCTGCTTTGGATAACAGTGTTCACATTTCCTTGCCTTACAGAAATATTCTTAAAATTTTGTCGTATGATTTAACCTTTTCGAGTGAAAGAGTTCAAAGTTGAAAGATTAGGCGGGGACCAATCTGCTCCTCAAAAGCGAGGAGGGAAATGACTCGCTAAGCAGATGATATAGCTATGCTCACATCTCAAAAATGTTCATCTGTAACTACGTGATTTTATATTGTCATCAACTTTTTGTGCGCTGTCAAGTATCTGTAATGTGAAAATTTAATCAGCAGCGGAGCAAGTTATCTTGAATTTTGTCAACCTTGTTCATCATCTTGTCTGAATATTTGAAAGCACATTACTTGAGATAAAGCCGTTTTTCACTAACCTTTTCCAATAATGTTTTACTGACCTTTTATGGGATGGGATCGAGGAGACTAGAAGAAACAAGCAATGTTGCGAATGCTTCTGACGTCTCAAAGCTGAAACTCCTAACGGAGATGGGATAGAGGAAGCGTTTTTTACTGAGTCATAAATATATAAGGTCTTAGATGTCGGTCTGTAAGTCCTATTTGGAAAGCCAACTTTTTTGCTGATGGCTTTACTTGCTTTTTGTACTGCATCAATGTCGATATAGGCTTCATAAAGTGTTTTACAAGTAGAAAAAGTTTTTGCAAGGTCAGGAATTGCGTGTACGAATGACATGTGCTCCATGTAATGTTTCTGAGTGTTCGAAAAAAGTTATCTATATTTACAACTTGGGAAATGGAAATTTCATAGTATATAAGTAAAGTAATTCGCCAACATTGCCTGAACTACTCATATGAGCCAGAATAGTCACCTTTTCCATTTTGGGCCATATGTCGTTCCTATAAGCTGTGCCGATACTCTCGTGATGCTCTTTTGACTCGTTTTGTAAACAAACACGAGAAACGCTGACTGACTTTTATCTTCTAAAGCATTCGGCACATCACGTCATTTCTATTCCAAGCATCCTTTTTCCTTTTTTTCTTTCTTTTTTGTTTCTCAGCCCCTCAATTTTTTTCTAAGTCAATGCTTTTCTGGATTCAAAAAATTCTACCCTATCTTTATAGGTTCGCTGTTTCTTGTGATATTATCCGCCACAAAATGGTGCTTACTATGGCCTGTTGTTATCCGTTCTACCTCATCATCGTTTCACGCACAATATTCAAAAATGAGAAATTTCTTTTCCAGAACTTTTTTACTATTTGATCGAGTCCGATTTTGCTCGTACCATCGTATAATTATTTTTCTCCATTGTTTTTGAGCACTGCTGGATTTCAGGAGATGTCGCGCTCACATCAGTCATCACCAGAACCCGAGCCGAGGGTTGGCCTTTCTCGGTTGCTGTTTTCGCGACAGTCAGCTAGTGAAAAAAGTGAGTGGCTTTAACACTATCAATAAACAGTTGAAGACATTGTTGAGCCCCACACTGTTGACAGACACACATTGTAAGTTCTTCATGGTTTCGTCAAACGCATTTCTAAATGTTATTTTTTGTTGTAATAAGTTTTATATAACTCCATCTCATAATACCTCTAAAGACTTGTAATTGGGCAAAGTCACGGTGGACTTTGTTCTGTAGATATTTGAAGCCATCGCCGTGTTGGGAGTTTGCTCACAAGCTGTAAATACTGTGGCATACTGTAGCTCAAACCCTGTGCTAAGCCTATCCGTAAATTCTTATTTGCGGCTAGAATCGGGTTATCCAGTGCATTGTGCCTCGACCTATGAGATTATCCGTGCTAAACACGACTCAGACATAATCAAGTGATATCCTAGGCGAATTGTCATATCTCGATAAAACATAAGTAATTTTTACTCTATTGCAGATGCATCAAACGACCCTAGACATCAACATAATTTGCTTGACGAAACGCATTTTGGAAGCAACAAGCATCCTCTGACATTGAATCAAAACCAAATATTCTATGTTGGTATTGGTGGATAAAAAGTAATAGAGAAAAGTAAGCGGAAACGGAGATACAGCATCAGTAACTGCTTCATCTAGCAGTAAATTCGTAGTTAGTTGAAAGGCCAAGTCGCAGACGTTTCAAATCGTCATGTAGTGAATTGGTCAATTTTGTGTACTGACTATCGCGAGAACCTTCCAACAAATTGTTAACCTTGACATCTTCACCTTCCATCAGAGCTCGATTTATCATCCCTTTTCAGAATCAGATGAACTATCGAAAAGTCCTGATCGTGGGCCATCTCCAGATGCAGCTGATTATCACCATAATCGCACTTCATCTCGATCACGGAGTCGTCGAATCGCTGGATTCGCTTCAAGGTGAGAAGGCTTTGCATTGATGTTTGACACGAGTCAATGTTTTGGGATGTAACTCAGACAAAATTAGCAAAAAAATACTCTACAAAATTTGAGCTATTTTTATGGTATAAAGCGCTACGTCTGTAAAATTCTAATGCCAGTTTTTTCGACTTTCTTGGATACTGCTGAAAAGGAAGAGACTATGTGTCCAAATTTTTAGTAGACTACATATTAGGCATTTTATCATTTTTTCATTGTTCTGGAGTCTCGAGACAAATAAAAAGAACGACTATGAAGCGGCGTTGTTCACCTCCCTATCAATTCAAAATGTTTTATACTGCTTTAAATGCTACGCAGCTGACCGGGAGTGACATTAACAAAATTAAGGACCGATAAGAGTTTCCTTCCTTCTTCTCCCAATTCTTTCTGGCAATGAGTATAATCCAGTAATGCAGCTTTCACAGTTTCCAAGAAGGCTTTGTAATCCATACAAGTGAAAAAAGCTTACAGTATCAAAATTGCGGGTCTTAACGCCTGAGATGTAAGGGTATGAGCTTATCACATACTTGCACAAGCATTTTGCACTTTGCTGAAGCATTGAACGTGATATTTCGTATCATGAGCGACTTAGCACAATCCTCAGGTGTAAGCTCTCCATAATTAAACAGCAAATATTATTAGGCGCTTATCCTACTCCCTAAGCGTGGAGAGCAAAATAAATTTGAGATATCTGTACTTTGTAATATGGAAATCTATACGAAGTCATGCACAAAAAGATGTCAAAAAAGCATGTCAAAAAACTTTGGCTTATCTAATCAAGACACAACGTTTTTGGACGATGAGTAGCACTTCTGAGACTTAGACTTTGATTTTTTCACTGGCGACAAGCATTGCTCAAATAGGCTAATGACTTGTGATGTCAAAATTCCCAAGTGTTACCTCCTTTCAACATCAAGCAGAAAAACAAGCTCACTTGAACATTATTTTGATTCTTGTCTATTTTCAGCATTTGACCCCATGGGCGATGAAGCACCAACCATTGTCCTATTTACTGTAAGCAATGACGTATTGAAATGTAGATAATCACAAATATTCATTTGCATTCAGAAGTTGCGAGTTTCTCATAGAAAAACAGTTTGATAACGATTTTTTATTGGTTTGTCTTTAGAATGCATGATATGGTGGAGTTATTTCTAATGGGTTCTCTCAATTTCTAGTAGATTTTGCTGGATGAAGCAAATTTTACAGAGTTAATAAATGATCTGTAACCTGCCGAGTAAACACTAATATTCAATTCACAAACACCTGAGAGCTTCCAAATTTCTGGGGAAAAAAGATATCTGGTGTAAATTTTATGGCACGTGATGTCACCATTTTATATATAATAGTTTGTCTTAGCGGGATTCTCCAACCTCACTTATAGTGACTTGATACCAAGCAATAATTTTGGAATTTATACTTTTGAACCATGTATGTGATAACTATGAGCACGTAAAATATTCTCATGCAAGGTAAATTATATGAGCTAGAATATATTAGGTTGTCCCGAAAGTTTTGTCGGTTTTTTCAACCTATCATAAAAACGCGTGGAACGAAGATAGAGAAACGCTCTAAACACTATCCGACGCATCTTTTCCTTCTCTTCCTAACTGTCATGCCTCCATGCCAATCAATCTTTTGTTCACTGAGATAAACGCCGAAATTTCGAACCCATGGTTTTTACTATGTTCAAGTTTGGCAATTTTTCACAATCTTTATTTTTGACTTTCGGAAAAGCTTTGGCGACAGTTATATGGAGCAAACAAAGGGCAATATAATGAAATTTTGCGGCATCTATAGCCAGCCTTGAAAATTTTTTAGAATTATTTTTCTGATGCTATTAAATTCCACTTTTGGTGATGCCAAAAGCCAGAGATCATGAAACGGCGCGCAACTAAGGTGTTATTCGATGCAGCTTTTCCTCGTCTTTCCAGTGAGTGTATTTTCTTTCCGATTTGCCGGGTCTTTGGCGATAAAATTTTCATAATTCTTGAATTTAACCCCACCCCAGCGTGTACACGTAAAATGCAAAATCTTATATTTCGAAGCAAAAATCGCTCATTTGCTTCGTAAAAATAGTGATTAATCGTAATCGGTTTTTAAAAGCTTCAAAATCCGATGATTTGTTAGTGTTTGAGGCGTTTCTGTATTTTAGAACTTCGCAAAAGTGAAGACTTTTGAAAAAATTATATTTAAAAATATTGAAAAGCCAGCTAGATATGCCAAATAATTGCATTGCATTGTCCTTTGCTTGCGCTATCGAGGGCTATCAAAAGTCTTCCAAAAGTTGAAAATGAAAATCGTGAAAATCTGTCAAACTTGGACATAGTAAAATCCATGGGTTCGATATTTCGGCATTTAACTCAGTGAGAAGAGTAGTCGGCATATGGGCTTGACAATTAGAAAGAGGAGGAAAAAGTGCGTCGGAGAGTGTTTAGAGCGCTTCCCTATCATCGTTCCACGCGTTTTTATGATAGGTTGAAAAAACGGACAAAACTTTCGGGACGACCTAATACTTATCCAAGGTGGATGACTGAATTCAAGCAGGGTTAACAAATAGATTTCACACGTCAAAAGTTTGAGCTTAGTGTAAATTGCTACATCCCTTGTAGGAAATGCAATCATCACTGTTTGTCACGACAAATTCAGTCTTAAGTACTGAGTGAATAAAATTTCGGAGCACCGATAATCTATTTTCAGGTCACTTCGCAAAAGTCAATGGCGGTTGTTTAAGCACAGAACTTTCTTCGGCAGTCAACGGAGCAGTATCAAGCAGAACCATCATCAGCTGTAGGTTTCGTTTCTGGGATTTTTTTGAGCGATTTTACGGCCTAGTGGCAGGCACGAGAAATTTGCTTATTTCTCCCAAAACACTCTTGTATGTCATACAGAAAGCAGCAATAAAGATAGGTTTTATCTTCCTGCAAGTGCCTTATCCATATATGACATTCGCAACATACATGTAAGATTTAATTATGTGCCTACTAATTGCTCATATTATTTACAATGACGTGCAGCGACGCAATCGCTAGGATATCCTGTTTTCTCACTTCTGAGCCTGTAATTCTATCAACATCAGTGGTTTAGTGGCATTCACGGGAAGTAGACAAGGTGACGTTAGCTTATACCTTTAGTGTTGAATGCGCTCTATATGAAGAAAGCGACTTGTTTTTCCGCTGCAGCAAAACAATGAAGAGAATTCAAATGCGCAGGTAAAGTCAACATTCCGTGTATTTTGATCGCTGCTAACTTGACCGCTTCTTCTAAAAAAGTCTTGCTTCAGTTTCTAGGTCTCCAGCGTCGTTCTTGTATCCATTGAGAAAATTTAATTTACATCACATTTTCCTAATTCTGGAGTAACAGAAAGTAGTTTGGATTGAGTTGTCTTGTTAAATATCTTGTCATCTTCTGGGAAATTGTAGAAACGGCAAAATCCGTATGGTTTGTTTGAGAAAGGGACAAAAGGATGTAGTTATTGCACATTATTTGTACCTTTATCGCCATGTCAAAACAAGATAGGGCAATTTTGTAGTAGTACTCCAATCTCCATTTTCTTCATATTCTAAACCTTCTTTATTTTCTTTCAAAAAAATTCCTTGTAGATTTGTACGAGCATCGTAACTAATAATAAGAAGACACTTATAGGTTTGAGCTCTTTAACAAGTCAAGCTAGAAGTTCTCTAAAAGCTTTTGAGAAAATATTTCAAACACGGATATTTGATTTTTCAGGTGGGACGTGAAAATATAGAGAGACGTACTGTGGGAAAAGATCTTCCAGAATGTTATATTCTTTTCCTCAGTTAACAAAAATTGTGCCTCGAATCAAAACTAATGATCTTATTTATAAAAAAGTAGGCTGTAGATTTATTATGCTCTGCTCTTCGAGTAATCATTAGTGTCTTATTTTCAGCTGGTCCAATACACTTTCCCTGAATTTTATTTGAGTTTGTTCGACTCAGATTTGCGCGCCTAGTCAGAATTCACATCGGATGGAGTCCGTTCACTTCCTCTAGCTCAAAGAATTGGATAGAAATGAGTGATGTAACGGCTTTTTATCTTCGAGCGAAATCCCTATTCTCTGGTGCAGTGAGCATTGATAAAGTATCCGCAATTATTATTTTGTAAGTCTGATTTGTGAACAGAATCGGTAGACCCAAACTAATACTGTAAAGACACTTTTTCGAAGTTTTCTTTGGTTCATCACATGCTTTTATGCTCTTGCTCATTTTTAAAAACAAGCTTAGAAAAAAATTAATCTGAAACACCCACAGCTATTATGTTCTAATCAACTAGTGTCTAAAACAGTGGATAATCTTATGAAAACGGACAACTATACTTGTTAACTGTAATTACCGAGGACGCTCTCCTATATGAGCGCATTTTTTTTCTAGCTTGTTCTGCATCTTCACCTGCACCATCAAGTGAAGCCATGCACGTGTACAAGACCACGGGGCGCCAGCTCGTGGCCGAGTGGTCTAGTGGTATGATTCTCGCTTTGGGTGCGAGAGGTCCCGGTTTCGATCACCGGCTCGGCCCAACCTTTTGCGACTATTTGTTAAGCTTGACAATCGGCGCTAACTTCATAGAAAAACGCGAAATGTGAGATGCTCGTTCATTTTCGTTTATCATGAGTTTCAAAAGGACACAGAACTGGATTTATACCGAACAGCTTCACTAACCTACTTTTACAATGATAGGAGGCTTTTGACACTTTATACGATCGAACCATAAATTTTCTCTTCATATATCACACGATTTTACTAGTAATTTTGTTAGGCTGAATTTACTGAATATCGGAGTTCAAAATACAATCAATTTACTGGAAAGGACCGCAAATCACTGCTAATTTTGATTCCAACCGCCGTAACAGGAGTAATGACACTTGTATTAAATTGTCAAGAAAACAATGTCGTCTTTTCGGATTTTTCGGGTAAAATTGATATTATTCGAAAACTAGAGCGCCAATTTTATAAAGTTACGAAGTTTTGTAGTATACAAAGGCATATGTGGGAGGGGCCCAGTACTACTGGGTACTACTGGGGGCGAAGTCTGCCATTTTCCATTTTTCAATTTTTTTTGGTTTCTAAGCATGGAAAAAATATAGCAACTGTACCTATGGATATGTGCATGTGACTTTTACATGCAGGAGCAAGTGAGAGGTTCGCATGATTTTCTAAGGCGAAAATCCAATTTTTGGCTCTGAACGAGTTGCTCATATGTTTTGGCTCTGAACTTTGCGTAAATAACAAGTTCTGCCAATGTTCGGAAGTTGTCTTGTAGAGCTTCCTTTGCTCTATCGAATGGTACCCTCTCATTTTCTCACTGGTACCCTCTTATTTTTTTGGATTTGTCTTATGGCTTTGCTATGAAAACGACATTATTTTCTTGACAACCTAATAAAATGATAATTTCCAATTTTTCCTTATTCTTTGGCCCAAGGCCTTAAGGCTCGAATTGATCTCGTGGTCTATGCACTAAAAGATCGAATTCAATCTACATTTTGCTTTCAAGATGGAATTCTTTTTTTTCTGGTTGCTTATAGTCAATGAGAATTTCATAATGAGTAGCATTTCATTGCTAACAGTCATAAGATTGCTTCAACACGCAGAATCGATCTCACAGAAGCATATTGGCTCCAACTGATGTAATTTACTCTTACAAGACAATTCGATTTTTGTGAAAGCCTATTAGACACACGATTACTGTATGACTTATGACAAGACAAGAATGAGGTTGGGAAACGTTAGGCTGGAAGAGTGTTGAGGGAAAAGGTTAGAAGATAGTGGACGGGATGTGAATAGCATCAAAAATTTTGCTCAGAGGCTAGGAACATTCTTTTTGATTGAACAAACCCGAAATATAGCATCTCATCTTCATCATCGTCTTAGACCATCTAGAAATATTGAGCTTAGCCAGCAAATGTGGACATCAAAAAACCTCAAAAATCTCATTTTTTGGAGGTACTTTTCGCAGAAAATAGTAATTCTTGTGTAGGGCCTTTATGAAACTTGCGGTAAATTTTACTGCCTTTCTTTTCAGAAACATGTCTATCAAGCTTCAATGTTCAATGCAGGAAATTATAGCGCAAAACATTGTTGATCACTCAAAAACTTGCATTCCTGATAATTGGTAGCAATGTTATAGCTTTAAACATTCCCTTGGGAACTTATATGATGCCATAAACATCGTCATAATCGCGAAAAACAGCATGGCTCATTTATCTCACATTCTTGATCAGAGCACCGTGTGATAGTGACAGCATCATAAACAGTTTGTGGAATTGGTTTTTGTACGTTCACTAAGCGTTTTTTTCCTTTAGATGGAGTAAAATTTAGCCCATAAATCTGGATGTTTATTTGAAATTTTCACCTACACATACAAATGCACGTTTCATTAGCTGGAATGCATAACATCCATGAGCGAGACAACTTATTATTTCCCTTCACGTCAGTAATTTTATTCATTAGGGGAAGTTGGCCTTCTCCTGGCAATGAGCTGTTGTTATGCTCTTGTTTTCACGCAATGAGCAAAGAAGTGGCAGTGAAGTACACATAAGAGGGTAGTTAAAGTCCAACATAGCACTACACATTCATTCTGAAATCTTTTCTTTCATACGCTTCAATTTTTGAATAAGCGATAATTAGTGGGCTCAAAGAGTGTTCAACAAAACATACATAAAAAAAGAAAAAATATTTTACTTTTATTTTATAATACTCGTAAAATATTTTGATTGCAATCATGGGTGGATGATACCAATCGTGGTGCGATACTTTCCTTTCAGAAAGTTCGTGTGGATCTTTTATCCTGTAACCGCTGAAAATCGAACTCAATAAAATAACCACAAAAGCCCTTTATGAAAAACGATTCCGTAGCTTGGCGATTTTATTATAACAAATTGTAGATCATGCTCTAGATTTGTATCATTCTAAATGTAAGTTGTCATATTCCAAAATTTTGATTTTATGTTACCAGTTCCGTATCCTCATTCATTCTGGGCTTTTTCGGTCTATGACTTGTTTGCGACTGGTCACTGCTCCTTGCATTTTCAGAATTGAAAAAAAAAATTAATTTCGAACCATCTCGTCTTTACCAAAGCTTTTTGTTTGCCGGGAGTAGCTTCAGAATTCAAAATCTCCGTGTGAGAGTGAAAAACTAGGAAGTGAAGTGAACTTTGACTTTTTTTGACAATCTTCTTTTTTTAATTTTTTTTAGCGAGGAATATGAAATGATAAAGGTTTTACTTTCAATCTGACAAGCTTACTGGCAGCTAAACTTGGATATTTGACTGCTCACATCGCACTGGCTGCGTTGCTGTGAATCACCTTATAAGATCCTTTTTGCTAGAAAGGATTAAGCCTTACACGATTGTTGTGGCTTCGTCAGCGAATTCAATTATAAATGTCTACTTCCGCATTCATTTTATTTGCATCTTTGACATATATAGAAGCTCATAATCTCTCAAAAAATGCGCACAAAGCTCAATCGAGCTTTCGTCAGAATTGCTAAAGTTCCACTCAAAGAATCCTTTGAAACCTCTTTGAACTGATTTTGCTTAGGTATCGAATGCTTACTGCTCTCTAAGTTACAAAGACGAAGAGATAGTGGTTCACTAAGTGAGTTTCTGCCATCAAGAAGCAGAACTGACTTCTTGGAATCTCTTTTTCAAGCAATTATGAGCTTACGGAAAATTCTGATTTATCTTGAAATGAGAGCATGGGGTCAGACATTCACTTTTGTCGCAAAAAATTGTTTCTTAGACAAACTGGGATTGCTTAACTTTTTGTTGATAT